TTACTCAAGATGAGTGAGCGAGGGACAGACGTAGCTTTCATCCTCAGTTCCTCCTCTGAACACCTACATCTTTTGAATACTAAGGTCATGGTAAGGGCGTTGAATTGGTTCCAAAGCCAATGCCTTGCTCAAGCTCGGCCCTTACAAATATTGACCTTTCTTCCAAAACCATCCATTCTTCAACTAATTTTTATAATTTTCCAAACTAATTCGGAATCGAGAAGGAGGATGCATATGGAGGAACGTATTTTTGTGCACTAACGCATCTCCTCTTAACCACTCCCGCTCGATCTTTCAAGAGTTCAGTAGACCCGTGTTTTATTTTTACGCAGAAATAGAGTTCGGATCCGATATGAAACCTTCACTTGCAGGTTCGATCAAAAACGGCGCCAGCAGCATCGGCTCGAGGTCGCCGTACAGTGGTCACAGCGGCGCTGATCTTCGGCACGTTCCTTGTTGGCTGGACTCCGGCCAGCATTTTGTTTCTGCTCACTGCTGACGGCATGCCACTGTTCCGCAAGTCCGGAGTGCTGATTAACGTGCTGTCGATCGTCGTTTTAATCAACATCATGATTAAGTCACTGACAAATCCAATCATATACGCAACGAGGTGAGTTCGAGCTATTCCACTTTCAAGTCTTTGATACAGTACGATACCTTCCGTTGAAGAAGTTGATGCTGTTTACATGAGAGGGGTTGTTGGCCCAAGGCAAGCCACAGGGCGGAGCCGAAGCCTGAGGGTGGTGATGGGACTCCGGGCTGCTAAAGCACTTCCTATGACGGCAAAAGCACGTCCCACAATCAACATTTGTGGTCATTTAATTCCAAAAGTGAAGACTGGGGAGAAGATGACCGCCGGTAAACAAAAGTTAAGATTTTTAGGGCCTCATCCCTTAGCGAAATTCATAGTGGTTAGATGGAGAGACCAACGCGTATGTGGAAGAGCATGCCTCACTAAAGGGAGCTGACATACTACCGTTTTATAGCGAGCGATAGGAGGGCCACTAATCGGAAGCATTGTCAAGGCCCATCGTCCTTATGGTGCACATTGGAGCAGGGTCAGCCGCCCTTTGACACAAGTGCCTACAATGAGATCGTGTTTGCGATCTTGGGAGAGGTGGGATCGTATTTATAGAAGTTTAGGAAGATGTGGGTCGTTCAACGCTTTTTTTTCGAAAATCAGAGGAAATTCTGGAAGGTAAGGATAAAGCGGTCATGGTTAAGGATATCGTTTTACTAGATGAATTTATCGCCTATCCTCCTTCTCGACGTCCGTTCAGGAGGAGAAAAAGGGGCGGATTTGTTGGAGCGTGCCGGCTGGTCTCAGAATAGAACTACAAGGCTGAGGGTGGTGCTGGAGGGTCTCATCAAGACCCACTAGGTAGGGAGGGGGTCGTAAAATTTTGGAAAAATTACCAGCGCTAGAATTGGCCCTGGTTTCGAGCCGCGGGAACGGTGAACTTTGCAAGCAGCTTTATCCTACCCAACAAAGGGATCACTCCACTTGGCGATCGCGGGGTGCGCCTTTAGGGAGATGAAAATGAGCAATATTCATTTTTTCAAATAACTATTGTTATCTAAGCTCCTTCATATTGACCTACGACGCACAGTTTAATCTTCTCATTTCAGAATACCAGAAATTCGGCACTTCGTCCTTCATCGTCTGCTGTGGCGTATCGTTCCACTACGCGAGAACGAAGTGTTCGAGATGACTCATCAAAGAAGGTGGAAACGAAACTGTTGCGCAGTTCTGTGCTACCTGAATCACTGTAGGCTCGTGCCATCGTTAACGGAGTGGGAGTAGGCAAACTGTGTCAGGGTTCAACGACAAAACCCCCACAATGGGTTCACCTCAGGTCGCACAAGAAAAACGCCACCTACGCTTAAGGAAGTCCGTTTATCAAAAATTGACAGAACAAGCTCAGGATTCTGAAAACCTGTAGGCAATGAACGCCGAATGGCAAAATATGATTCTGCGCTATCACAAGATATGGGGATATCCTCCATGGTCGCATAAGAAGGAATGAACACTGGTAGAAATGAAAATTGCTTTCGCTTTCTGGAGTCTTTCTTCCCCTCCCTAAAGAGGTCCTGCTTTTTATCAAAAGAAGATGTCTGTGTGCCCGTTACTGGTGCTTTACCACAACGATGCCCCGTATCTTGCGATAGCGCCTATGTTTCTTTCACTCGGAATTCGTTTGATATTGTATTATAGCATGCTTTCAGAAATTGTCGCCTGAAATTTTAGTCTACAAAGAAAGTGTCTCTGAACGGCTGCCAGGCACATAGGCAGTATAAAAAATACATAGGATGAACGGCGACTAGTTGCTCCAGGAATGCTCTGTTTTTTTTTTGATCAAATAAGAGCAAAATATATTACAAAGTCTGAATTTGGAGCCAAATTTGATGAAAAATCCCATGAAGTATCCACTCTTGCAGATCGATACGTCTGAAGCATAGTTTCATTGTCAGCCAGAGGGGCCACAATGTCTAGCAGTCGTTTCACAAGATTACTGGGTTATGGGCGATACCCTTCGCTCCAAGCGGGAATCGAACCCGCACCCGTCACCTCTCGCTTCGCGGCATGCTGAGCGGTCGTGTTGAGTCCATCTCAGAATCATTACGGCTGCTGCAACAGCGAGAGATCCGGGTTTGATTCCTTCTCCTGAAGCGAAGGGCTTTGCCTACACTTATCTGGTAACTTCGAAAAGGCAACTGCGGCCAAAAACACAGTCAATAATCGAACAAACCAGTAGCGACGGTTGGCAGGATGCCCAAAGACAAGGAATAAAAGTTGAACCATCGTGAAATTATGCACTCGTCGTATCTGTCTGCAAAGTGAATTTCAGCGATTGCTTCCATGTTTATAAACCGCCTTTAATGAACGGGCCTTCGACTGCAATTGTTCCAATCTGGCAATTACCATTGTTTTGTTGTGCTGTTTTCATTATTTATGCATAAATATTCATCTGAAGCCGATCTGTTGTTCTTTCATTGGCAGTAGCATTTACGTTGTCAGCAAAATGAACTCGGCTACTACACTTAAGGGGAATTTCTTGAAGTACACACGGAAGCTAGAAGCGGGCTAACTCTATGAACCTAAAAAAGAACGTCAAGAAAGTTTTCGCTCCAAAGTGGCAGGCATTCTGTGTATATAGAGCTCGGAATCTTTTGCAGACAGCGATTATTAAAGGTCTTAGAGGGGTTTAGAGCGAACGTGGGGGGGGGTGGAGTGCTCAATGATGCACTTGTGGCCGAAAAAGCACAGGAGTCCCGGCAAGAAAGCGCAAACGAGACCCTTTTCTTTGGCCGTTGATTTTCGCTCACGAACGGGCAACGGCTAAGACGGTGGATATGTGGACAGGTTTTACCACAACGCGTTTGGTAGCATCATGCGAAACCATACTCCAGTCGAAGTGCACCAATTGTGCCGCTGCTAACAACATTGCGTCATCCAAACACAAAAGTACAGTACTCGCCGTTTGAAATCGAAAATTCACGCGAATAACGCGAATCCTCGTTAATTTCGTGAATTCGTTATAACTCGGTTCAAAATTGAGATTTTCAAAATCTGAAAAAAGCGTTGAACTCAGCTCGTCGAGTTCTATAAGAATATGCTTTTAAACTTTTAAAAAGCCCTACTTCAGATTGCGCCATGCACTCGAGCTTTGGCTCGAGAAAAAATTGTTTGAATGTGGTGCGCATATAATCCCGCTTATGCATCATGATCGTTCTTCAGAGAGATGGGTCTCAGCAGTTGCCCCAGAACGCGCCGCGTATTCAACATCGTCCATTGTATTGTGAATGGATCGATTGCTTTTTTCCAGATTTCATGGTCCCTATTCCATAGCGGCGCGTTAAATGACTCAACATGTACATGACTGCGCTCAACATCTCCTCCTCTCGTGTTCAAATGGAAATCATAGATCATTTTTCAGCAGGACAGTTAGCCTATTTGGTGAAATTTTCCAATGTTTGAGCGAAGGTTTTTCCGAAATCTGAGGGGTAGCGGGGAAATTTCTTCACAGTTGTAGAGTACGCTTACTTTGTGTAGAAATAAGATGATACGCTTGCTTGTAGACGAGCGCTTCCGCCGTGCTGTGGCTGTGAAAATGCCTCCTCGTCATGCCCTTGTGGAAAGATCAGATTTTTTGCATTTCCAGATGAGCTCGCAGACCTGAAATGTGCCCCGTTAGATTCCCCGTGAAAAATGCTATCGAATGATATGCATTACTCCTCCCAGTTGAAACTTTGGTTTTTCACCGTTTTCAGCCTTCCCCTATTGCCGATTGGGCACTATTCCACGATTACTGCCCCAAAATCTCAAAGTTTCATTTTTCGTCGAAACTTTGCCTATTGGGGTAATTCGATGCCCTGATTACGAATATGACATTCATTTTTGATGCTGGTGTCATTTGGCGCCAATTGGCGCCAAAGACGATTTCGCGTTTTTTTCGTTTTTTCGTTATAAATCGGTTTAAAATTAAGATTTTCAAAATCTGAAAACAGCCTTGAACTCAGCTCGTCGAGATCTATAAGAATCCGTCCTAAAGTTTTCTAGCGGCACTACACTGGATTGCGCCATGCACTCAATTTTCATCTCAAAAAGTAGTTGCTCGCATGTGGTGTGTATATAATCCCGCTTATGCGAGCTGACCGCTACACAGAAAGAAGGGTCTCAAAACTTACCCCAGAATGCGCCACGTACTCAATCTCATCCACTACATTGTGAGATTAGATGAATGTTATTTTCCGAATTCTTAGATCTTCATTTCGTTTTCAAGCGCTTACTGGCTTTACGTGTTCCCTCTGCTCTCAATATCCCATCCTCTGTATATCAAGTGGAATCTTTGAACAGTTCTCAGCAGGCATAGTGGGCCTATTATGTGACATTTTCCATTTTCAGAGGAGATGTTTTGCAGAAAGCTGTGAAGATAGCGAACAATTATCTTCACCAGCGTAGACTACGGTGACTCTTCTGTAGGAACTGCATGAAAACCTTGGTCGAAGATGAGCGTTCCTTCCGTAGTAAGGCCCCAAACATCACACCTCGCCCCATTTTTTGTGACATGTTCCATGTTTAGAGCAGATGTTATGTAGAAAGCTGTGAAGGCAGCGACGAATTTCCTTTACTGCGTAGACTACGGTCACTTGTCTGTAGGAATTACATAGAAACCTTGGTGGCAGGTGAGTCTTCCTTCCGTGTATGACCCCAAACATCACACCTCGTCATGCCCTTGCGATATGATCAGATTTTTTTGGTTTCCAGATGAACATAGAAGACTGAGATGTGCACCATTCAATTCCCCATAAAAAATACTGTCGAACGGTATACAACTCACTTTCTGGAGAACATCTAGTTTACCTGCCACTAGATCCATTTTGTGACATTTCCCAATTTTCGAAGGGATGTTTTGAGGAAATTCGAGAAGGGAGGGACGAACTCTCTTCCCTATCGTAGAGTAAGTTTACTTGTATGTTGGAAAAAGATGATACACTCGGGCTTGAGCGAGTGTTTCTTCCCTGGTGTGGCCTCAAACATCGCTCTCCGTCATGCCCTGAAATAAAAACCAGATTTTTTGGTCTTCCAGGTGGCTCTACGGAGCTGTGGTGTACACCATTCGATTCTCCATGCAAAATGCTATCGAACGATATACATCTCAGTTCCCACTTGAAACTTTCGTTTTTCATCGCCTTTTCCTTATCGCCGATCGCCTTCCTCAGCCCTGGCCACCCACGTGCAATTCACGTGCGCGGTGCGTGAGAGCTCACGTGACAGCCGATGGCCTTTCTCGGTAGCTGGCGGGCAGCCCGATCGATACACCGCTATGCGTGTCGAAAGTGCGTGGGAAAGTCATCACGCACCGCGCACGTGAATGCACGTGGGTGGCCAGGGCTGAGGAAGGCGATCGGCGATAAGGAAAAGGCCGAAAACGGTGAAAAACGAAAGTTTCAAGTGGGAACTGAGATGTATATCGTTCGATAGCATTTTGCATGGAGAATCGAATGGTGTACACCACAGCTCCGTAGAGCCACCTGGAAGACCAAAAAATCTGGTTTTTATTTCAGGGCATGACGGAGAGCGATGTTTGAGGCCACACCAGGGAAGAAACACTC